CTCAAATAAGATCTAAGGTTTTTCTGATCATTTTTTATTAATATATTTTTCTCTATGCTGAATGAGACAAAAGAGGGTGAATTACATCTTGGACCCAACAGATTTTTTCATCGACCTCCACAAAATTCTTATCCCTAGGGCACATTAGAGCCTTTGTAAAAGTTTGGCACCATTCTACATCTTTTTGTGGGTACACTCAGTTCAACCTATAATTAATCGGTGTCGTCGGGCAGAAATTTAATTAAACTTCAGAAAGTAGCAAACCATCTCCGAAAAATCCCAAACTTGGTGTTTCCTTCACCTGTGTCACGTGCAAGCCTAAGAATAATTTTGACACCAATACAACGGCCCCGTTCGCTGGTCTGAACTTTGGCTGAAACTGGCTGAAAAACACTGTTCCGGCTGAATTGTTGTGAGAGAAAAACACTGTTCCGGCTGAAAAAACAAGCCGAACAAGCTAAACTTTAAGACAAGCGAACGGGGCCAACATCGGAATGTATATTTCTAGTTCCCCAACAAATGTTACACGAATTACATGTATGACAATAATTAAACACACAAGCCGTACAAATTAAAATTAGAACCCAATTAAACTACGACCTTGCAAACCTAGCTAAATAAACATTAATTACTATCGGAATCACTGCCGAGATCGTTCAGGCCACGCACACTAACATGCCTCTGTAGCCATATATGGTAATTGATGTCACGGATTATGTATCCGCTTGTATCGATGAAGGTCAATGCCTGTATGAGTGCACTCTCTCGTGCCTCATAATACCGAAAGAATGGTCGGTCATAGATGTAACCCACTAGCAGTGAAAAAGAGCTACCTTCAATGGACCGTAGGCTAGCTCCCATATCTCCTCTATGAAACCATAGTATGTCTCCTGCACGTTGCCATTTTCATCATGAGCATCAAAACGAACACCACAATTTTGGTATGTGCTCTTTCCATCTTGCTTTTTTGTGTAAAATGTGAATCCATTGATCTCATACCCTTGTTACTTAAGATATGTACTCGAAGGTCCCTTGGCTAAGGCATCCAGTTGATTACCCAACTTTATTCCAAGCAAGCAGCGTCGCAACCAGTTGATAAATTCCTCCTTATATTTTTTATCCAGCCAAGACTGTGACCTGCTCGGATATAGAGTTTGTAGCGATTGCCTATGCTCATCAATGTATGGTATCACACCCTCGGCTTGCTAGAGAATAGCGAACTGTGCCTGTCTGAAAGAAATAGGGTCGTCTACTGTAACAGATTTCTCCCTGATCGTTCTTTTGCCACGTAGTCTTCCCTTGTGACGAGATTCTAGAACTCCGACTCTTTTGATGTCCATATAATATGTGCAGAACTCAATGGCCTCCTCCGTTGACCATCCTACAACCATGCCCCCTTCCTAGCCTAAATTTGTTCCTAACATACCTCATGAAAACTTTCATCAATCTTTCGAAAGGGAACATCTGATGCAGGTACATTGGGCCAAGGGCTCTAATTTGGTCAACAAGATGAATGAGCAGATACAATGAGATATCAAAGTAAGTCGTCGGAAATGCATCTCAAGCCTAACAAGAGTTTTGGCTATGTCCTGCTGTAGCTGCTCTAGCGTGGACACATCAATGACCTATTTTGATATCGCGTTGAAGAACGACCAAAGCTTTATGATTGGGGTGCGGACCTTTGGGGGGAGGATACCATGTAGGGCAACAGGGAGCAACTGAGTCATAATGACATGACAGTCATGGGTCTTCATAGGGCCATAGTTGAACTTGAGTTCTCTCATGTTCACTAGGCTCTTTGGGTTCGCACAGTAGCCCATCGGGACTTTGAGTTCATTGAAGAAAGAAATAAGCGCACGCCGTTCTTCCTTCTTCAATGTCCATGACACAACCGGAAGTTTGAACTGGCCATTCTCTAGCTCCACGGGATGCAGCTCCTTCCTAATTCCCAAGTGTTGCATGTCCAGGCGTGTGGCTAGTGAATCCTTTGATGTCCCCCGGTGTCCATCAAGGTGTTACGAGTGTTAGCGCACATGTTTTTAGTGATGTGCATGGGATCAAGACAGTGGTGTACACTCAGAAATGGCCAGTAAGGTAGTTTTTAGAAAACCAATCTTTTTTCCTAATGCTCCCATCAGGCGCTGCTACTGCATTGTCCCCCTTCCCAAGGACAACCTCTAGTTTGTTGAGTTCTCAAAGTATCGCAGGCCCATCTCGATATTTTGGAGCTAAACATTTCTCAATAGTACCATTGAAATCTTTTCTGTTCCTATAGTAAGGGTGATCCTTAGATAGGAACCTACGGTGTCCCATATAAACTATCTTTGAGTTATTTGGCAGATTTACCGCAGTGGTGTCGTCCAAGCACTCGACACATCCAGTCTAGCCTTTTGTCTTCTCTTCAGACAACGAACCTCGACTTGGTAGGTCTGTGATTGTAGCGATAAGTACTCCCTTGATCGTGACATGTTCCTTTTTGTACTCGTCCCAAATATCTGGCACATCCTTTTCAAATATCTCCACTAGTTCATCGATCACTTGTTCCGAAAACACATCGATGCCATTCCCAGGTTTTCTTGGCCCTTGGATCAGTAGTGGCATCTGGATGTACGACCGCTTCATACAGACCCAAGGTGGAAGGTTGTATATAGAGAGCGTCACTGGCCAGGTGCTATGATTACTTCTAACCTGGTCGAAAGGATTCATCCCATCTATGCTCAAAGCAAACCAAAGGTGCCTTACCTCTCCACCGATGTCCTTATAGAACATAGTATTGACCGTCCTTCAGTCATGCCCATCGGTGGGGCGCCTCATCATTGTATCTTTCTTACGCTCTTCGCCATGCCAGCGCAATAGCTTGGCTGACTTTGCACATGCAAACATCCTATGCACCCGGGGAGCTATAGGGAAATACCAAACGGCCTTTACGGGACCTCCTCTGGTTTGGTACCCTCATCTGATGGCCCTTCCTTGTACCGTGGAGCTTCATACTTGGGGCACTTGTCTAAGTCTTTGTATTTTTCTCCACTATACAATATGCAATCATTGGAACATGCTATGATTTTTTCAACCTCGAGGCCGATGGGGCAGATCATTTGCTTGGCCAAGTATGTATTTTAAGGCAACTCATTTTTTTCTGGGAGCATTTTGCTTATTATACCTAACAACTGATCAAAGCCTTTATCGCACAATCCGTTTGTTGATTTGAACTCTAACAGCATGATGTCGGCTTCCAGTTTGCTCATTGGACAATTCCTATACAATTTTGTTTTGCCATCTTGTCTTATTTTCTCTAGCTTTCTCAGTTGTCTTCTACTAAGGCATCCGGTCTCTACATTACGTAGTAGCTGAGAAATGCCATCGTTATCCTCGGTGTCGCCAGCTAGCATGTTCCTAAACACATTATTAACTGTGGCTATAGGTTCTGTGTTGACATAGGGTTCCTCTTCAGCATCGTGGATGGCTACGTCAGGCATGTCCACATCATCATCATTTTTCTGTAGAACATTCACGACAACCTCGCCATGCATAGTCCATATCGTATAGTTTCGCATGAACCCCTAGTAATCACCTGCGATCGTATAGACTCAATTTGACAAAAGTTCCATTGATTCTTGCAATCTTTGCATGGGCAGAAGACAGGGTTCCCATTCCCAGCATGGGCTTCGACATCGGTGATAAACTGGCTGACACCATGCATGTACCGCTTGTCCGTTCGGGACAGATGCATCCACTCTCGATCCATCTCTGCACAAAAAAATATTGAGACAATAATCACAAAGAATTAATAAGAAATTGAGCTTCATGAACAATAATTGTAGCTCAAAAGTACCATTTTTGGAAAACATTATTGTACACTAATTTTTGGAAAATTGAAATTGGTAGCCTCGGCCCTGTAAATTGAAAATCATAGTAAAAAACAATTATTGCACAATAATGAAGAACAACTATTATACTCCATACCACATAAAAATGGAGACACTTATTTTAAAAAAGACTAAAATTGAAGACATGATCATGAACAACAATGTAGCTCCAAACAATGCCCACATAAATTGAAAAACGCAGCCCCATAAAAAAATTATTGCACAATAATAAAGAACAATTATTCTACTCCATGCCACATAAAAATGGAGACACTAATTTTTTTTAAAAAAGTCTAAAATTAGAGACACGATCATGAACAACAATGTAGCTCCAAACAATGCGTTGTTATGTGACACATAGATTAATTTTCTCAACAAATTGTACAAGAATCAACTCTACTTCTAAGAACTAATTATAGCATCACATACTAACAATGATGATCTTGACCACCATGGAATAATTAGCTAGGAATTTAAATGTGTTCATAGACACCAACCTTTTGGATGATGGATTCACCACAATTTGAGCCTTGCACAAAAGTCCAATTAGCAAAGTGCTCTCTAAAATGGAGAAAAAACTAGAATGAGAATCAAGCAATGTAGCCATCAAAACAAAGCTAATTAAGCAACAAAATCAAAGGAGTGGATGTTTGTTACTAACCTTAAAGCAAAAAGATCAAGCCATTCTTCAAAATCCAAGTGCTAGCTTCATGGTGAAGAGCAGACGCAACAATGGAGGGAAGGGCTCAAACGCGCGCCTCTATCCTCGGGATGGAAGAGAGGAGGAAGAAGAGGACGGCTGCAGCCTTTTGTGTTGTAGGCTTATCATCGTCGGTTCTTAGCTAGAACCAACAGTGATAGATCCAAATCACTGTCGGCTCTTAGCTTAAACCGACAGTGATGAGTAGCCGCCAAAACACTGCCGGTTCAAGCCACAAACCGGCAGTGATGTGGTCCTTCACTACCGGTTTTAGCCCAGCCCCAATCATTTTCTTATTTTCAAGCTCATAGCCGGCAGTGAAGGTACATCATTGCCGGTTGTCACAAATCCGGCAGTATGAGGCCGGCAGTGATGTCCAAATCTAGGGTAGTGAGGAAAGTGAACAAAAAATGATTCTCCCCCAGCGGTTTGCATTAGATTCCCTTTAGGGGACACCAGATCTTGCCCAGTGCTGCCACCAGGGCTTCAGCCCTAACTGGTTTATCAACCAGTACCTTCCTCACCACTTGGGGATCCTTCCTTGAGATCGAACCCCCTGATGTACCACCAATTTTGATGCTTCTCTTCTCCGAATCCGTCAGCTTCATCTTCTCCAACAGCCCCGCCACCTTGTCGGTTTTGGGATCCATGATGACACTGCAGGAACCGGCGAGAACTAGGGCTAGAAGGTGAGTCTAGGCTCTGTTGAGGAGAAGATTTGACCTGGACACGAACGAGGGATGGGATTGTGGACTCTATCTCGGAGATCAATGTGGGATCTGAGCGGGAACTAGATCGAGAGAAGGAAACCTACTCGCTGAGCGAACCCGCTCGTGTCGCCCTGGGCGCCGAGACCATATTCACTCTTGATTGCCCTGGGTGCCGAGAGAACCCGCTCGAGTCACTATTGAAGGTAACTTTGAGATATGCAAGATAAGCACTCATGATAATCTCATTGATATGTTGACAAACTCTGTTTTGGGAGCTAAGTTTGAGCTATGTTCAAGCTTAGTAGGTATTATAGTTTAAGTTCTAGTGACTTTTGGCTTCGGTGATTATTTGTTATTGAAGTGGGTGCATTGATGATACTTTATTTGTTACAAGATGGAATTCGTCCCAAGGTGGAGTTTGTTGGAATGTGATCGGAATTCTAATGTGAGTCTTGCGGGAACGCCAGGAGGGCTCATGGTTCGGGTTATGTTAATTAAATTAGTGGATTTATTTCCATGTTGAACTGTAGTCCGTCTGCCCAATATTTACATCCTGTAAGTCTCACGGAAGAGTACAGTTATGACTCGTTGTATTTCCCATGTTCTGGACACCTAACTACCTAAGGCCTTTCCTTCAAAAATAATAAAAGAGGGGAACCTTCCATCAGGTGTGGGGCTATTTTTTTGGAAATCTTGTGGCATTTCTGATTAAAAAAGACAAGTCTATCCATTTGTATGATTGCTTGTGCATTTTAAATATATCTGCACTGCTGGACACAACAACGGGCTATCTAAAAATATGACAAACACACATCACTCCACATGAGAAGCACCGCCCATCCTAGATTGCCCCTGCTAGCAAGGTTTTGCACGTTGTATAAAATTAAAACACACATGCTCATTGCATGACGTGTTATTGGTTACTTTGTGTTTCAGTCTTCAAACTAACCACGTACTCCCCGGCAGAGTACGTGTTTCACGCGGTAGCCAGGTCCCCATTTACATAGACCAAGGGAGAAGTGTCACCCCCTGTTCCCGGCCCCCACCCCTTTTTATCAATTTATAGAAAAAAAGTAGTAACAATGACATAACGGCGTGGACGCGTTTGCGTGTGGCTAACCATGTCTCCGTACTTCCTTGCAACGCTCAACACAGTCCTCGTGAAATTTCTGCGATGTAACTCTGAAGAAACAGAAAGACTGGTCGCCCGCAGTCGGCATCACACAAATGATGAACAGAATTGCTCGCCGGTCGGTCCATCCGTGGATGGGTGATGTCGTCATTGCTAGCCACAACTCCTAATTCGCCTCATGGAGATAGTTGTTGCGGCTTTTGGAGGAGCTTTGCGCCTTTTGTTTGGTGTGCAAGCAGCCAAGCACACGCAATATGCATGGGCCCGTGCTGAAATCATCTTGGCCTTCTGTTGTTCCCCATAAGCGCGCACTTGGATCTGTGTGCACATCGATAGAGTCTGGAGATAAGGATCGCCTTCGTCACACATCCAAAGCAGGAGATCAGGCTGCTGTCCTATTGGCCCTCCTTTCGCTGCTTCAATTTTTTGTGGCAGCGATCGTGAGCTTGATCCCTTATCTGTAGATCCTACGATTGGTACAGGTCAAAGAAGAGAGGCCATTATTTGGTCGAGTGTGTACAGCAGCCACGTATCTGCCTGCGCAAGTGCAAGGCTCTGATTATTCAAGCGAGTATACATATGCTTCTTTATTTCCTTTTCGACTACTGATTTTTCTGCCCGGAAAAGAAGGTGTGTCGTGATCGAAATAATTGCGGCTTTCTGAGGGATTGTGTCATCACTAACGGATGAGCTTTTGCAGTTATGGTAGCCTCAACCCTCAGCTATGCTACCTCCATCCATATGTATATGACGCAAGCAATTAGGGTTTGGATGCTGACGCTACCTTTAGTTTTGTCATGTCCTCAGTCACCACTTGGACTTATTTCCTGGATATGCATTCGATCTCATCACTTGGCACACTCTGGAGGCCCTATCTGGGATGGGAGCAGTGGCGGCCCTAGGGGTATGCCCTGTATGCCAAGGCATACCCAAGATTTGAGAGAACAAATTAATAAGTATATACATCTTTATACATATCTTCATACATTCATGTTTCTGGCTCGTAGGCCCAATAGAACATCTGTTTCTGGCAATCTGGCAGCCCACGAAAACAACAAAGCCCAGAATACACACTGTCGCTTGTGTTGCCCCTGCCCGGCGCCCCTTTCCCTGCTCTCGCTCGCTGCTCTACGCCGCAGCACGCAGCCATGCACGGCAGCACGACGCCCTCCACGCGCCACCTCCAGACCTCCCCCACTCCAGTCTCCAGTGACCGGCGCCGGCGGGTGGCACCTTGCGTCCTTCCGTCCTCGCCATCTCCCCCACTCCGGCCAACTCGCCCCTTTCCCCTTCCCCTCCCCCTTGCCACTCGCCCCAGAGTCCCAGCACGAATGAGCCGGCCACCGGCGGCGGCCGGGCGGCACCTCCCCATCTGCTCGGCTGCTTCAAGCAAGGTGAGCATAGCAAATGCAGAGCACCCTAGATTCACTCCTCAGTGAACTATTGAAAATTTGTTTTTCTAATTCTTTTGATTGTATTCTTCATTCTTATAATGTAGATGAAGAAGAAGGGTGTTAGCATATTTGCATTGTGGGAGAAAGCTACAAAGGAAAAAAAACCTCCACATCCACATCGAATGCCTGTTCTATTGAGATTGAGAGTAATATTTCTTAATTATTTATGTTTCGAACTTGTACTTTGGTTATTACTATGGATTTGTTTAAATGTTATGACTATTATAACTTATCGTCAATCATATTGCATATTTGCTTCGAAATTTTGTACATTTGGCATACCCAGCCGCAAATTCCTAGCTCCGCCACTGGATGGGAGCATTATATATGAGCATTTCTGGGTGAAAGCTTGTTGGGTTGCATGGACAGTATGTGTTGTATGCTATTTCTCTGCAGCAGAAGGATATGTAAAGGAGTGTATCATTGTATCATATCACTAGCTCATCCATTTGGTGATAATGCAAAAGTTGCCAATGTGCATGAGTGGATTGTGGGGTACGGCACACGTCTTTAATTCATTACAAATAGTTATATGATGTATTACACCTGCCTTTTGTGTTTTGACCAATAATAAACATTTTGTGACCTCCTGAAACACCAAGAAAAAAGAAAACCAAGGAAGCCACTGGAGGTAGAGCTCTCCCTCCCGTGCAACACCCTTCTGTTCTCAGGCTCAAAATGATGAACAGCCTCTGAATCATGAACGACAGAGAACAATCAACATAGTTTTAGATGTATGGAACCTTGTTTAGGAATCGATAAATTAGAGGTCGTCGGGTTAGGATAGGGAGATACATTCGAGACAATTAACGTTATACCCTTAAGTCTGTAAATCTAATTTCACTAATAATTTTTCTTCTTAAATTATTGGTAAATAAAAATCAGAACAAAAAGTACCCAGAGGTACCGTTGCTACTTTTCAGCCATCGTAAATCTGTTAGTAATTAACAAGTGTTTACTTTAAGATTCATGTGGGAGCTCCACTGGATCTAAACTCCTACATATGTAATTTTGTAATTTGTGATCGCATGGGGCAGATATGTCATTTTGGGACTAGTTGGGAGCCATTATTCATACGACTAGCTCCCTTTAAATCAACAATTAATTAATGTGATCTGTTATTAGGTTGCATGTTAGGAAATAAGAAATACTCCTTGTGCTTCAAATTACATGTTTGTTTTCTAAGTCAAAAATCCTCTAATTATAACCAAGTTTAGATAAAAATGCTCCAAAGTCTATATTATTAAATTGGTTTCATTAAAATATTCTGTAAACTATGTTTTGATACTGCTTTTATTAGTATACTATATAGAGTTAGAGAAGTATGGCTTAAAATAAACGTAAAGTAACATATAATTTGGAAAGAATTGGCAAAATAACTAAATTCCATTACACTAATAAGCACAATTACGCTAATGTAAAAGGCATCACGCTATCAGATACTTCTACGTGTATAAATACTCTCATTTGTGACAACCATTGTTAGCTAGTCAGCCTAGACTTTCATCTGATATTTATATATAGGCAATAATGTGTAATATTAAATTAGTTCTTTTTGAAGGAGAGACAGAGCCTGTTCTTACCATCGGAATACGCACTAGCTGGTGGCAGAAACAAGATGATCCCTATCCAGTATCCCTAGAGATACGCATGGCCTTGGCGCACCTGGCCATGTTCGCTTCGCTAAAAAAATAAGGCGAAACACTGTAACTGATTTGTTAGGAGAGTAAAACATTATTTCAGCTGAAAAAACAAATTGAAAAGGACGGATTATAAAACAAGTGAACATGGCCAATGAGTGATTAGTGAGACAATCAGCCTGATCGGCTGGGAGCGGCTGGCTGGGCTGGCTGGCCAGCCCTCTCACATAAACACTGTTCACGCGAATCAACCAGCAGTACTTCTCTCTCACATAAACGAACCAGTAACGATACGAAACAGCCAACCGAACAGGCTGAAAATGGCTAATAATGAAGATTATTAGCTGCACTTCCAAGAAACACCGTACCATCGCAGACAGTTTAACATATCTGGCTCCCTTTATAATAATTAAGAAGAAAAGGTATTAGTGCAAGGTTCCCTTTAGCTACTCTACTGCTATAAACTGCATAAAATAGAAGTCGCATTCACCTTTTCTAAATAAAAAAATTCCGGCCTCTACACTACCGAAAACAATGCCTTTGCCGAGTGCCTCGGTAAACAGCACACGGCATCTACAGTGTAGGCAAACGTCTCTTTGCTGAGTGTTTTTTATTGGGCACTCGGCAAATACTTTGCCGAGAGCTGAAACCGACGCTCGACGAAAAAAGTAACGCGACGGCACGGAGATGGTCACGGCGCATTTGTCGAGTGTT